AATATTTGTTTAAGAATATCATTAAAATACAGCATAATTAATGATATAAAAAACCATTTCTTCAGATTAAAATGTTATAGCAGGTTCTGGCCACACTTTCAAAAACTTTATCGTTATTGAATAAGAAAATCAACTTTTCATTATCTGATAAAACGTTAAAATCCACATTAGAATTTCAGCTTCCTAAAACAATATGGGTCTAAGATCTTCGTATAGTGGACATTTTAATAAAACATGCAGTTCATCTTCAATACTATTATTACATTAAAAACATGTTCTTTCGTGCATTTCTTTTCTTTCATAGCTGCCTGTCTTTATTCAAAGGGGAGCAACACCACATCTAGATTTTGCAAAAGCGATCCTAAATTTAGGTGGCAATTTACATTTTAAGTAAGGTTCAGTACAATAATCGTATTTAAATAACTTATATGTTCTTAATTTATTACCTTGAGCATACGTAGATACTCTATTACTCCAATCTATTTTATATTTATCAAACATTATTGTTTCAATTTGTACAATAATACTCTTATTTAATACATTAGTTTTAAAGTTACAATATTATAGTCTTCAAAATTATGAGTTTTAAACATTTCCATAACTATATGGTTCCAATTCTTGATTCTACCTCTAGTTTTCTTCATTGACCATTTGAAAACTTTAAAATTTATTCTATCATGACTCATATTTGTACATCTTGTCCAGTGTCTAAATACACTTGTCCAATGTTTTAAACATCCACATCAGTCTCTACATGGTAAAATAAAATGCTTCGCTGAGCGCAGCCTGATACGACCGCAGAGGTCGAACCCTGGACAGTTGGGGCAAATTTGGACACAATATTCAAGCTTGATACTGTCTGAATTTGGATTGTGATCAAATTTTTGACATAATATAGCTTTCTGACACAAATTAAATGTGGTCAAAGATCTTACAAATCTATTGCGCAATACTGTGCAATTGAAGATTTCTTCTTGAAACTTTTCAAAAATTCGAAATTTGAAAAATTTTGAAAAAAAAATATGAATCCTTTAAAAAAATTGTAAACAAAAAATCCCACCCCCAACTTATTGAAACCCCCCTTGGAGCAATAACCCCAAAACTTAATCCCAGCCTTTCCTTTGTAGTATGGAATCTTGTTGTATAATTTCAGAGAGATCCATACACTTGAACACAAGTTATTGTCTCGAAACTAGAAAAATGCTTCTTTTTGGGCCTTTTTTGGCCCCTTATTCCTACATGTTTGGGGCAATTAACCCCAAACTCAATTCCAGCCTTCCCTTTGTTATATGGAACCTTGTGGTACAATGTCTGAGAGATCCATACACTTACACACAAGTTATTGACCGGAAACTAGAAAAATGCTTGTTTTTGGCCCCTTTTTGGCCCTTAATTCCTAAACTGTTTGCCCCATAACCCTTAAAATAAATCCCAACCTTCTACTTGTGATATTAAACATTGTGGTACAATTGCAGAGCAATTGAAATACTTATACACAAGTTATTGTCCTGAAACTAGATAAATGCTTATTTTGGGCCCCTTTTGGGCCCCTAATTCCTAAACGGTTGAGACCATCATCCCTAAAATCAATCACAACCTTCCTTTTGTGGTATTGAACCTTCTAAAAAAAATTCATAAAGATCCATTCACGTAAACTAAAGTAATTGTCCGGAAACAAATGTGTCTTCGGACGACGACGCAGACGACGAAGACGACGCAGACGACGACGAAATCATACGATCCCAAAAAATGTTTTGCGGTCGTATAAAAACATATACTATGATTGATAGATCATTGATTTGTATTTGCTTGGAAAACAATATATTTCCCTCATAACAGCTGAGTTAGCGCATAACCTATATTTATGAAACAGATGTTTTAATTAGAATATTCTAAACATTTTCTAGGAATATTGATGTTATCATGATGGTTATTGAATATGTTCAATACAATGTTAGCCTTTTCTATACTGGAGAAATAAAGACCATTCATTCATTAGTTTACAGTGTCAAGAGAAGCTAACTATTACGTATGTGTCACAACAACAAATAATTATATTCAACTCAAAAAATTATAGCTAATGATAATTCATAATATTAAAGAAATCTGTATTCCCCCGCTCAAGGTGCGTGTGTATTTCCATGCTCTTGATGTTTGTGAAGAAAATAAAACGGACGCATTTCTTTGCGTCCATTACAAGACAAATACTACAAAGTGTATCATATGTCTGTGTCTACAACCTATGTATATTTTGGAGAATCTTTACATGTAGCCATAACACATGGACCTTGTGATGTTCTGCCACGAAATTTGCGCCAAGTACATAACAGAATGATGTTGCAACAATTAATCGTTTGCATCAGAATGGCAGCCACAATAAACAACGCCATCAAAGTGTCTTGATGTGAATTTCCACATTCCTTGTTGTGTCCACCGCAACTTGTAGCTCCTCTAATAACTTCACTCGTAGGATACCCAAGTATACCAAACGAAGCACAAGTCAATCCAAATAAACCATTCCACTGTGAATAAAGTAAAATACACGGCTTCAGTTGAAGAATATATGCTTAACATTAGATATAGTTACGATATATAAGTACAATGAAGAACTTTTACAAAACAGTTATTGTAAGAGATTAACTCGTGAAGTCTAAAATTGACTTACCTGTAGAAAACTAATTTCAAACGGAATATCATATCCTAATGTTAACGGTGATGTTGTTTACCGAGCCCAGAAATTTAGATACGATCCGGGTAAACTTTTCAATCCTTTTTAGTAAACTTGTTCTAAAAGGTTACCAATTCAACACTGTAATCAGATCTTTAAATATTGTTTTTATTGGTATTAATATTGATTTTGTTATCAGTAAATTAGTACCATACTAAATAGTATTGTTATACAGATATACACTTTAACAGTACTAAAATCTGTCGATACCTTTATTTTAGCAATGCACAAAGTCATGTTATTCTATGACATGTTAATGACGTGTTTACACTAAATCCATTGGATGTTGGATATGTACTGATTGATATTTTAGTTTTAGATACATTGGAACATATCATGTACTATTGAAGGTTCAACAATCAAAATTTAAAGCACTGACGGACTAATCCTTCACGGCCATATACCTTACCGGAACATTTAAGTGTATATATCTGAGCTCCGTTCTTCTAACTTGTTTTTGTAATAAATATGTTTATTTATTGTTTAATTGTTTAATAGTTATCTAAGACCCGGATGGTACTGCAGCGTAATTTTTTTGTTTATATATGATTACGTTTCAGTGGCGGATCTAGAACTTTACATAAAGGGGGCCCGTTGACTGACCTAAGAGGGGGGCGCTCCAGTCATGCTTCAGTGATTCCCTATATAATCAACCAAATTTTTCCCACAAAAGGGGGGGGCCGGGCCCCCCAGGCCCCCCTGGATCCGCCTATGCGTTTGTTTTCAATGTTTGAAGACTGACTTTAATATCTTGATGACATACCAGGTTTCTTTGCTTAGCTGTCTCCTCCTGTGTTGTTATAGATTCTGTAGCCATGGAGTTGGCTATGATTCCCATGCATCCTATAACAATTCCCTAAAATATACAATGTATTCATGATATATTTATTACCAGGTATTTGTATAGCAAGAATAAATGTATGATCGATAGTGTCCCTGTGTTTACTAATTAAGCTTTAGGTATAAATGTCCTATCGTTTAAAATTAACCAGGCTTTAGATATAAATGGCCCATCGTTTATAATTTATCAAGCTTAAGGTATAAATGTTCCATCGTTTTTTTATCAGGCTTTAGGTACAAATGCCCCATCGTTTATAAATCAATCTTTACGTTCAAATGTTCCACCGCTTATTTATTATTTTTAACAATGAAACTAATTAGATATTAGATAGATGTAATTCAAGAAAACTAGTGTCCTGTACTATCCATTTTTGTGGAGAAAGAACGGAGAGGTAACTTAGTTTTTGTCATACTTCTAAAGGGAGGTAATCCAGTTTTTGGAATACTTTCGGTTAATTATATTTACACTAGCCAATACAGGTATTTGTATCATATTTTACTTACGAGCACTTAGACGAACGTCCGATTACCGGGACAGCAATTTCAATTTGTATGTACAAAGACCACGCCTCAATTATTCCTTATTAACCTACTTCATGGTTTCCTATCTAAAATTGTTCTGAATACAGGATTATTTAAGGTTCATGTGGACCCTTTGGCTAAAATGGCAAAAGTACTTACATAGACCCCGATATAGATAGGTGAATCACCAGTGATAGGGTAGCTTGCACCATCCTGTGTCGCTAGAATGGATGAAGGTAACAAGTACTTACATAAACTCCGATATAGATAGGTGAAGCACTAACGATAGGGTAGCTTGTAACATTCTGTGTCGCTAGAATGACTAAAGGTAACAAGTACTTACATAGACTCCGATATAGATGGGAGAAGCACCAAAGATAGGGTAGCTTGCACCATCCTGTGCATGTCGCTAGAATGGCTAAAGGTAACAAGTACTTACATAGACTCCGATATAGATGGGCGAAGCACCAAAGATATGGTAGCTTGCACCATCCTGTGTCGCTAGAATGGATAAAGGTAACAAGTACTTACATAGACTCCGATATAGATGGGCGAAGCAACAATGATAGGGTAGCTTGCACCATCCTGTGTCGCTAGAATGACTAAAGGTAACAAGTACTTACATAGACTCCGATATAGATAGGTGAAGCACCAATGATAGGGTAGCTTGCACCATCCTGTGTCGCTAGAATGACTTAAGGTAACAAGAACTTACATAGACTCTGATATAGATAGTTGAGGCACCAATGATGGGGTAGCTTGCACCATCCTGTGTCGCTAGAATGTCTAAAGGTAACAAGTACTTACATAGACTCTGATACAGATAGGTGAGGCACCAACAATAGGGTAGTTTGCACCATCCTGTGTCGCTAGAATGACTAAAGGTAACAAGTACTTACATAGACTCTGCTCTGATATAGATAGTTGAGGCACCAATGATAGGGTAGCTTGCACCATCCTGTGTCGCTAGAATGACTAAAGGTAACAAGTACTTACATAGACTCCGATACAGATAGGTGAGGCATCAACAATAGGGTAGCTTGCACCATCCTGTGTCGCTAGAATGGATAAAGGTAACAAGTACTTACATAGACTCCGATATAGAAAGGTGAAGCACCAACGATAGGGTAGCTTGCACCATTCTGTGTCGCTAGAATGGATAAAGGTAACAAGCACTTACATAGACTCCGATAAAGATAGGTGAAGCACCAATGACAGGGTAGCTTGCACCATCCTGTCTCGCTAGAATGACTAAAGGTAACAAGTGCTTAGACTCCGATATAGATAGGTGAAGCATCAGTGATAGGGTAGCTTGCACCATCCTGTGTCGCTAGAACGGATAAAGGTAACAAGTACTTACATAGACTCCGATAAAGATAGGTGAAGCACCAATGACAGGGTAGCTTGCACCATCCTGTGTCGCTAGAATGACTAAAGGTAACAAGTACTTACATAGACTACGATATAGATAGGTGAAGCACCAACGATAGGGTAGCTGGCACCATCCTGTGTCGCTGGAACGGATAAAGGTAACAAGTACTTACATAGACTCCGATATAGATAGGTGAAGCACCATTGATAGGGTAGCTTGCAGCATCCTGTGTTGCTATAATGGATACAGGTAACAAGTACTTACATAGACTCCGATATAGATAGGTGAAGCACCAATGATAGGGTAGCTTGCACCATCCTGTGTTGCTAGAATGACTATTCCTATAATAATCAGGATCGGAGATATACCACACTGAATAAGCGAAATGATTTTTTGGAACTGTAATCCTTGTCTTTTGCGTGCGACTGAAATTTAAAAAAAAAAATGTTAAATGATAATACAATATGTATGGAACATGGAAACTCTAAACTGTATAAAATGATAATACAATATGTATAGAACATGGAAACTCTAAACCGTATAATTTTATCATATAATATAACTTGGAAAGAGTTTTAAAAATGAAGCAAAGTTAAATCAAGTTTAAGACAAATGTATGATTACCAACCCCACCCTATTTGCGGTGTATGCATGCTGCTTATTTGTTATCACTAAATCCTAAGATAAAAACCAGTATTTTTTTTATCAAACTGTGAAACCTATTTTATTCAATGGTAGTGCAGAATGACGAATGTTTAAGTCTCGTTCATCCAAATATAAGAAGGAAGGTGTACCTATCAAAAAAATATATTCAGGTTTACAGTTGTGGTTTTTCAAGTCCAGCGCTGTAGACTTCAGTCAAGCGCTCGAGATGTAAGGTCTAGGGCTGTAGATCTAGGTCAAGCGCTGTAGACTTTGGTCAAGCGCTCGAGATGTAAAGTCCAGCGCTGTAGATCTAGGTCAGGCGCTGGGGATGTAAAGGTCTAGAGCTGTAAATTTGAGGTAGGGCCCAGTGGCGGATCCAGAACTTTTTATAAGGGGGGAGGGGGGGGCACCGACTGACCTAAGGGGGGACCGCTCCAGTCATACTTCAGTGATTCCCTATATTATCAACCAAATGTTTCCAAAAAAAGGGGGGCCGCGGCCAAACAGCCCAACACCCACCTCTCCTCCCCCACCCCGGATCCGCCTATGGGGCCAATTTCCCCTGATTTCTTTTCACAGAAGGGCCAATTTCAAAAAGTGCTGAAAGAATAAAATTTACGATCAAAACAAGAAATAGAAATGTTTTTTTTTTTTTATCAATATCTCGTTTTTTTATATATTATGATATGTCTGAATAAAATGCTCCGCTGGGCGCAGCTTGATACGACCACAGAGGTCGAACCCTGAACAGTTAGGGCAAGTATGGACACAACATTCAAGCTTGATACAGCACTGAATTTGGATTGTGATTAAATATTTGACACAGCATAGGTTACTGACACAGAATGAATGTGGTCTAAGAACTTAAAAAATTTTAATTTACCTATTCAAACCATATCATTATTATTTGCTTATATATATATATATATATATATAAATAAAAAAAAAACAATTTAAAATGCAAAAAAAAAAAAAAAAAATCCCACCCACAAATTTTTTGAACCCCTTATGATTCATCACCCCCAAACTGAATCCCAGCCTTCCCTTTGTGGTATTGTACCTTGCAGTACAATTTCAGAGATCCATACACTTGAACACAAGTTATTGTCTGGATTCTAGAAAAATGCTTGTTTTTAGGCCCCTTTTTGGCCCCAAATTCCTAAACGTTTTTGGGCAATTACCCCCAAACTCAAACCCAGCTTTTCCTTTGTGATATGGAACCTTGTAGTACAATTTCATAAAGATCCATACACTTACACACAAGTTATTGTCCTGAAACTAGAAAAATGCTTGTTTTTTGCCCCTTTTTGGCCCCTTATTCCTAAACTTTTGAGGCAATTACCCCCAAAATCAATCACAGCCTTCCCTTTGTGGTATGGTACCTTGCAGTACAATTTCAGAGAGATCAATACACTTGAACACAAGTTTTTGTCTGGAAACTAGAAAAATGCTTATTTTTGGCCCCTTATTCCTAAAGATTTTGAGCAATTACCCCCAAAATCAATCCCAACCTTCCTTTTGTGGTATTGAACTTTATGGTAAGATTTCATAGAGATCCATTCACTTAAACTAAAGTTAGAGTGCGAAAACCAATGTGTCTTCGGACGACGACGACGACGCCGGACGACGACGACGACGACGACGACGACGTCGCCGGACGACGACAACGTCATACCAATATACGACCGCAAAGTATAAAAATAGTTAAATTTTTTTAACAACCAAAAAAGATGAAAATCCAATATGCGGAATTTACCGTGTTTTTAGGTTGAAAAAACAGGGAATCCCCCGAGAAGGACATTTCAAACCAAAACAAAGTTAAGTTTGTTGTTGTTGTAATTTATACAACCTTTTTCCTCAAAATGAAATTGGTTTAGTGTGTCCTTAAACCTAAAAACAACTTTTTTAATAAACAAAAAAGTGGAACATCACTAAATTGTACCTATATAGCTGCTTAATAACAGACTAATCTTGAAGAGTCGCCGTGGCTCTATCGGTGGCGCATAGAACTGTTAATGACATAAAATTGAGAATGGAAATGGGGAATGTGTCAAAGAGACAACAACCCGACCACAGAACAGACAACAGCAGAAGGCCACCAACAGGTCTTCAATGCAGCGAGAAATTCCCGCACCCGGAGGCGTCCTTCAGCTGGCCCCTAAACAAATATATATATACTAGTTCAGTGATAATGAACGCCATACTAAACATGCTAAACTCCAAATTGTACACAAGAAACTAAAATTAAAAATAATACAAGACTAACAAAGGCTAGAGGCTCCTGACTTGGGACAGATTGTTTTTAGAAGGGGTTCACATCTCACGCAGATTTCTTGTTTTTTTTTTGTGGTGAAATATTAAATTGTTATGTTTCTATCATATTTTTTCGGATGTTTGTTTAATTCATAGGTCATTATGGATCATTTTGACTATATATCATTTCATTAAAGAAAAAAAAGTAATGTGTTGCTTATTGTGTGTGTTCCTATTACTATTCATACTCTTGGCTTACTGCCTATTCCTGTGTTTACAATAATTATATATATGCAATGAACAATTGCCGTCAAACTGAAGTAGGTGCTTGTACATAACCAATAACACAAGAATTGATTATATAGCAATGAAGCCCATATGTTGTGTGTGTAATATACACATAACGAAAAAAGGCCATAGCAGAAAAATGTCTTTGGCTTGAATTAAATGAGGATAATGATACCCATCCAGTTAACGGTTGGTTTAGTGAGTGTAAGGCGGGAGCCCGAACTGTGGGATGCTGTGTCCATGTAGCTACGATATTGTGGTACATGGGATATGCCAGACACCAAAACAAACAGATGTTCCGCTGCAGTTAAAGATGCCAATATAGACATTGAAACAGAGACCGATCTTGAATCAGATTAGCTGATTTATATATCAGATAATTAGATTATTAAATGTGTTTTGTATTTATATTTAACCCCCGTTTTTTATTATTTTGTTAGTTTTAAGTTAAACAAAGCTATAAAATACATGTACGCTACAAATCACCTACCAACATTAACACGCTAACTGAAGCAACGTGATTTTTTAATACAAAACTAATTTTGAATATCTATTTTCTCCTCAGAGGCGTTAACAAAGAAAATCAATATTGGTTTTGATAAACCAAAAAATCAATAGTCTTGGCCTTGTTAATTGTAGGAATACCTGTTCAAGGTATGAAAATAGATGATGTGACGTATTTTCGTGTACTCTAATTAGCATCTATCGGGCTATTTAAAAACATGATTTACCTACCTAATCAAATGAAAAAAAAATCAGGGGAAAATGGCCCTATCTCTTTAAAGCCCAGCGATGTAGATTTATCCGTAGGTTTACCCTGTGAGAAACCTCACATAATATTTAGCAAATGTATACTTGGGGCGCATTCACTGAAAAACTACAAATGCTGCAGTGTTATATAAACTTGGTAGATTTCCAATTTATTTCAATATAATCAAAATGATGATATTGAACTGGTACCAATTACAGAATTAAGAAGCAGTTTTCCTCTTTTAGCTATAAAATATATGAATCGGTAGGGATTTTCACATAAACCAATTTATGAATGGGGCGGGGGCGGTTTCAAACCCCATGCAGCCGGATGTCTATACCCAAATTCGGGCTAAATACATAAACGCCATATACATATAACGTAATGATCATACTAATTAAAAGTCATTTTTGATATAGAGAAAATATGCTAAATATTTTAAGTCTGAATTTGCCTATCACGTCAGAAAAAAAAACTTTCTTACAGAAATTGATTTTTAAAACTAATAATAAAATCCTGGCAAAATTGAATCATACAAAAATAAATAAGGGGGGGGGGGGCGCAAACTTAAATTTTCGCCGAGCTGAGCGATGCAAAAAAAATTTGAAGTAAAATTATCGAAATATTCTTTATTAAGCTGAGGACAACTGGATGCTTTGCAAATTTTAGGGGGGGGAGCGCACGCCCGCCACGCTCCCGCCTGAATCCGCCCCTGAACAACCAGAGGACAAATATTTGCATTTTCTCATTGTTGTTGTCTATATATTTGCAAAGCATAATAATTTTCCGAACTCGGAAAGTGAAATATATCTCTTATAAAATTATAAGGACACTTTAAGAACCATAATACGTCCCGTAAACGGGCGTATAAAAACACAAATTTTAAAGGACATTTTAAGACTTATCTTTGAAAATATCTGTAAATTGACCATTTATGCAGTGAAATAGGTCCTCAGTGGCGGATTCAGGGTAGGGTTTCGGGGGTTGAAACCTCCCTTTTTTTATACGATCAATGCTTTTGAATGAGGACATATAGTTGGCCCCATCCCCTTTATTTTGGGTTGGAACCCCCTTTTAAAAATAACTGGGTCAGCCTTTGGTCCTCTAATCGTTTTGAAATGAAACAATACTTTTTGACGTATATCTCGATTTGTCGTGCCTTTTATGCAAATATATGTAAATCAGAGCTTTATATAGTTTTGTTATTCATTGCCAAAAATATCTAGTTTAAGAAATGTTTAAAGCTATAAGAAACTTTCAGCGTAACAACCAAGCTGTGCGCCTCAATGCACGTTCATCTTTGTTATATTTTTTGTTTAAGGATTCGTTATTATCTAAAAGTCACAAAAATGTCAATACTATGGGACAAACGTATGGACTTCCCTT